GCTTCTCCCTGCCCCGTGGGGAGGTCCCACCACTCTGGAAGATCCAGGGTCTTCCCTGGAGGAGGCAATGGGAGGAGCCAGGGCCACCAGCAACCTGAGCCACCAGCGCACCTGGCACCATCGGACCAGTGGACACCCTGTCAACACAGACCTGTGCACAGTAGTGGAGCTCCCACGGTGATGGTCGCGGAAGCCGGGGACGGCCTGGAGCCCAACACCATCCCCCACAGTAGCAGCCCAATCAGAGTCCAGATATACCCCCAGCACCAGAGGCTGGGGAGCAGACATCCTTCCCCAGGCAACAGAAGCACAGACCAGCAGCTGAGACCCATCCCCCAAAACTATAGCAAAGACTGAGCAGGAGTTGAGCCCCACAGGGCAGCAGCACTCCCCAGCTGCCAGCGGTGGGGCCTGGGGCTCCACAGAGGCCTGTGCCCTCCACAGGCTCACAACTGCAGTAGGAAGCCTGAGTCCTAGAGAGACTGGTGCCATCCAGCTGCCCACCCTTGGGACCTGCAGGGTGCTAGGGTAACAGGGAGGCCTGTGTAACCCAGCAGGGACTGTGCAATCTAGTTACCCTCAGGACCTGCAGGGTGCTGAAGCACCAGAGAGGCCCGTGCGACCCAGCAGCCCATAACATAGGCATAGAGCCGGGTCCCCAAAGGGACTGTGAAATCCAGTTACCCATGGGACCTGCAGGGTGCTGGGGCACCAGGAAGGCCTGTGTGGCCAAGCTGCTTACAAGATAGGCATAGAGGATGTGAAAATGGAGGCAGAGCGAATAGAAGCTACGCAAACGTTCTCCCAGGACCAAACAGGAATTACAACTAAAATAAAACAAATCCTCGGAAAAAAAGCAACAGAAAAGCAGCAGGACAGGACAATATAACCAGGGACACTGGTAGGATCTGCAGAGGCATGAGAGGGTGGCGGGCTGGGAGCCCATGGACAGCAGCAGTCTTAGCTGTGAGCAGCGCCCTTGGGGAATAAGGACCAAGCCCTTTCTACAGCACAGAGAGCTAGGACAGAGCACTAAAATAGCCACAGCCACTCACCTGGGGGCTATGGCAGAGGGAGGGCAGATTGGACTAGAACGCTGTGGGGACACCCGGGATTTTCAGGGCACTCCGAGTTTTTGCTGAGTTGTGGCCACAAAGGACCTTGGCCAGTGTGCTCCTTCCCAGAGATGTGGGGAAAAGCAGTAGCTACCCCCCCGCCCCCCGAGATTCAGCCTTTCCCAGGTGAGGCAAAGAAATAAAAATTGAGACTCATTAACAACCAGCATCTATCCCACCCTCTGGAAATCCTCTTAGGCAGAACACCAGGGCTACATTCCAAGGCACTGAGTAACTGAGACTACTAGCCACCAGGAAAAAGCTAGAGGATAACTGAACCTTTCTTGGGCTTACAAATCTACCCAGGAAAGTAAGACTTGACAGTGGTGTTTAACATGGGCCCACCCAGCCTCATCCAAACCCAGTAGAGGGAGCCACAAACAGCAGAACACCAACACCCATAAGAAAAATTTGGCAGGCTCCAAAACCCACTGAGATAGCCAAAATAGTGAAACAAAGAAACAAATCCCAAATGAAAGAACAAGACAACTCTATCGAAGATGAGATAAATGAAATGTAGCTAAGCAAATTATCAGAGGTAGAGTTCAGAACCATGATCTTGAGGAAGCTCACCAGCATGAGTAAGAACATCAGCACCATGAGTAAAGATATAGAAACACTGAAAACCAACCAAGTGGAAATGAAGAATGACATAGCAGAAATTAAGAACACATTGGAAGGACTAACCACAGAGTAGAGGAAGCTGAGGACCAGATCAGTGAATTAGAAGACAAGGTAGAAAAAATACTTCAAAAGTTCGTATGGAACCAAAAAGGATCTCGAAGAGCCATAGCAATCTTGAAAAAGAAGAACAAAGTTGGAGGTATCACATTACCAGATTTCAGGTTATACTACAAAGCCACTGTAATAAAAACAGCCTGGTACTGGCACAAGAACAGGCATATAGATCAGTGGAACAGAACAGAAAACCCGGAAATGGACCCAAGACAATATGCTCAATTAATATTTGACAAAGAGGGGAAAAGCATACAGTGGAGTAAAGACAGCCTCTTTAAAAAATGATGTTGGGAAAACTGGACAGCTACATTCAAAAAAATGAAAATAGACCATCACCTTACACCATACACAGGAATAAACTCAAAATGGATAAAAGACTTAAATGTGACTCATGAATCCATAAAAATCCTAGAAGAAAATGTAGGCAACAAAATTGCAGCCATCATACGCAGCAGAACTTTCACTGATACATCACCTAAGGCAACAGAAACATGGGACTACATCAAACTCAAAAGCTTCTGCACAACAAAAGATACAATCATCAAAATAGAAAGGCAACCCACTGTATTGGAGAGCATAATTTCCAATGATACATCAGATAAAAGGTTAATTTCCAATATATATAGAATGCTCATACAACTCAACAAAAGGAAGACAAAGAACCCAATTAAAAAATGGGCAAAAGAACTAAATAGACACATCTCCAAACAGGACATACAAATGACTAAGAGACATATCAAGAAATGCTCAACATCACTAATCATCAGAGAGATGCAAATTAAAACAATGAGGTATCACCTCACACCTGTCAGAATGGCCGCCAACAATCAATCATCAAACAACAAGTGTTGGCGAGGGTGTGGAGAAAAGGGGACTCTAATACACTGTTGGTGGGAATGCAGACTGGTGCAGCCACTATGGAAAACAGAATGGAGTTCCTCAAAAAATTAAAAATTGAACTTCCATTTGACCCAGTGATCCCACTTCTAGGAATATACCCTAAGAAGCCTGCAACACCAATCAGAAAGAATATATGTACCCCCATGTTTGTAGCAGCACTATTTACAATAGCTAAGATCTGGAAACAGCCCAAATATCCCTCAGTAGATAAATGGATAAAAAAGCAGTGGTACATATACACAATAGAGTACTATGCAGCTGTAAGAAAGAAAGATCTCTTAACCTTTGAGATGACATGGAAGGACCTGGAAAGTATAACCCTAAGTGAAACAAGCCAAGCAGAGAGAGACAAGTATCACTTGATCTCACTTATTTGTGGAATATAATGAACATAACAGTCTGAGGGGAGGCAGACCCAGAGATGTAAAAGTAGGGTACAGACTGACAACCCTCAGAAGAGAGGGTGGTGCGGGGAAGGAAGATATAAACCACAGAACTTATATGCATTATATGCATGTGTGCATAACCGATGGACACGGACAACAAAGCTGGGGACAGGGCAGGGAGGGACAGGGATGGGGGAATCAGTGGGGGGAAAAGGAGAAACATCTGTAACAAAAATAAATAAATTAATTAATAAAAAAAGGATTAGATACATAAGTGTAGTTATGTTTATTTGCATGGATTATTATACATACTTATATTCCCTATCTCTCTGCAATGAGAAGACCTAGTAGCAAGCAATGGCACCTCCGTCATAATAAGCACATCTAGAGCCCAGATCTTGGATTCTAAATGCCACTGTCCATTTAGATATATTTGGAATGCATCAAGATTCCTTGCGTATTCAACATTGTGGCAGAAAAAATAGTTACAGCTATTTTAATATTCTATCCCTAAATTACTAATTTTTGTTCACTAGGGTAAAAGCATCAGTACATCAAACAAATACTTTTCTATTAATTTTAAAGAAATTAAAGAAGACATGTCCTTAATATCAGTGAATTAGAGCAGAGGTTTTCTAATCATATTAAAAGGAAAATACTTGTTGTTGATGGCAAGCCAAAAAGCAACTAAGGAACCCTCAGCTCTGCAAGTCAATGATCCCAAGGCCGGTGTATACTGTGTGTAGGTAATGCTTATACTTGTTCTAATAATAACTGATTTATCTCTTCACCCAATATCTCTAATAAAGGAACAAGAGGTTTTTATTTTTGATTAGGACTCCCAAATATATTCTTTAATAAACATATTTCTTTATTACAAATGAATTTATGAAATATGTATAATAAGCAATATCTAGTTTCTAAAAACTGAGAATAGTGAGATAAATATACCATAAGCCACACTTCACAGGTATACTGCAATAGAACGCATATGAAAAATACACAGTTAAAATATAAGGTATAAGTTCTCAGAGTTGCAAAACAATAAATAGGATGTGTTCTGGGAAGCAAATATAAGTTGATAAATAAATTCTGACAGGAGACGGTTTTCAGAGTAATATGGCATTTGAAGAGGACCATGAAAGATTGGCTTTGAAAAAAGTATGAAAATGCTAAGCTGCGCAAATCTAATGTGTTAAGACATTGCAAATAATAAATAAAAAAATAGGTAAATATTTTTATGTGCCTTGAGTCCAGGGCAGTTAGTTAGGTACTGCCTTTAAAAGGCTGCAAAAAAAAAAAAAAATAGTTAGAAGGCATTGTGTTAAACCACTGTCATTTCATTTATTCAGAGTAGATCAAGGATGATCAAGATAGGAGCAATTATTTCTGTCCCCAAAGTTTCTATTTTTCTACAGGGACCAGTAGTCATCCTGGGTATGACTTTCTCATGGTTGTGGCAGAAATGAAACAGAGAGCATCTCATGGCTGTGTCACATCTGCCAACATCCCATTAGCCAAACAAGTCATATGGTCAGGCCCTGAATCAAACAGTAGAGAATGTTACTTTCTCCTTATAAGTACTGGGTAGAGAGTGAATATTCGCAAAATAATCTTGCACAAAAAGCATATTAGTTTTCTTTCAACAAAATATCCTCTCTGCATTCTACAATTCTATGGTTTTCCCTTCTTATTTGAATATTTCTGAATTAAGGAACAATAAATAATTTTTACAGATGTCTACCCTATGAGCAGCTAAAGTATTGAAAGTCAAGGTAGTAGATTGTGTAACTCATGCAAAAACACAAATTAAAGTTTACTGTATTTACTCTATTTATGATCATTGAAAAGAGTATATTAAGTGTTCATGTTGGTAGCACATTTACTGAAATTGGAATGATACAGAGTAGATCAGCATGGTCCCTGCAGAAACATGACATGCAAATTCATGAAGCATTCTGTATTTTTGTATAACGACTATTGTTTGAGCCAGAGAGATCCGGCACACAGTACAAGGAAGACAGACAATAATGCTGTACTGCAATAATCCAATGTGGCACATACTGCTTCAACGGCAATGGAACTACAATATATAAATGCTTCCAAGTAACATGCTCTTACACTTTAAATTTACAAAATGTAACATGTCAAATTGATCAATTTAAAAAGACCATCCATAAAGTTAAACATTTCATTGCATTCATTATTGATTTTGAAATGTTTGCCACAGAACTGAAACTGAGTTATTATAAATGAAAGAAACGTAAATGGTACGATTGATTTAAAAGGTTCATTTTAGCTAGAAAGTACTATGATAGCTAAATATAGTTTTAAATCACTCGTTTTTAGAGAAAACTGAATTTTTAAGTAAAGATACAGCTAAAATATACCAAAGCTTTTCAACTCACTCCTCTATCAGTGGGCACTTGGGCTGTTTCCAAATCTTAGTTATTGTGAATAATGCGGCTATGAACATAAATGTGCATATATTCTTTCTGATTGGTATTTTGGGATTCTTACGATATATTCCCAGAAGTGGGATCACTGGGTCAAACGGCAGTTCCATTTTTAATATCTTGAGGAAACTCCATACTGTTTTCCACAGTGGCTGCCCCAGTGTGCATTCCCACCAGCGGTGCAGTAGGGTTCCCTTTTCTCCACACCCTCCCAGCACTAGTTGTGTGCTGATGTATTGTTGGGAGCTATTCTGGCAGGTGTGAGGTGATACCTCGTTGTAGTTTTAACTTGCGTCTCTCTGATGATTAGTGATGTTGAGCATTTTTTTGTGTGTGTGTGTCTATTGGCTGTATGTATGTCCTCTTTGGAGAGGTGTCTATTTAGGTCCTCTACCCATTTTTAACTTAGATTGTTTATCTTCCCGGTATTAAGTTGTATGAGTTATTTGTATATTTTGGAAATTAACCCCTTTTCAGATGTATCATTGGTGAATATGTTCTCTCATACAGTAGGTTCGCTTTTCATTGTTTGAGACAGCATGGATGGACCTGAAGACTATTATGCTAAGCAAAATAAGCCAGTTAGAGAAAGATAAATATCACATAATCTCACTTATATGTGGGGTCTAATGAACAAAATAAACTGATGAACAAAATAGGTCCAGAAGTATCTATGCATGGAACAGACTAACAGATCTCAGTGGGGGGAGGGTGGGAAGAAATTAACCAAAAAATATATATGCTTATATGCATAACCCATGGGCACAAACAATAATAGTATGGGGAAAACCTGGGTGGGGCGAGGGTTGGGTTGAGGGGGAACAACAAGGAAGAAAATGGGAGACATCTGTATGACTGTCAACAGTAAAAAAATACACCTGAAAAAAATTTTTTGGTAACCAGTCCCGTTTTAGTGTATCTAATAGCTCGAAGCCTGGCAATGTGTATTTCCTAAGAAGAACCTTTGTATCCTCAAGTCAATGTCTCGCTGGAGGATTTCAAACCAGATGTCCAGTTATTGACACTCAGAAAATCTTTATGTGCCATCAATAGTGACTTCTAGTTTTCCCAGGATGAACATATTCCCACATGTACTTTCATGTACTGCCTGGGGAGAACATTAGGTTTAAAAGGTGGTGTGCTAAAATGTACTACATCAATGTGCAAGTTCATCTTTCTGCTACGTTGCCATCATTGCTCAGCAGAGAGTTCAAATGCTAATATAAGGTACTCTTAACTGTGGGTCTTCAGCTCTTGTACAAGTTACCTTATTTGCCTTAAGTGTTTAAACTCTATAGTAGAGTAAAGGCATATTTATATATTTTTTGAGAATCTTTAACTTTTAAGATCTGGAAGATCGAGCTCTCTCACACAAATTGTGTAAGGAAAATAATGTATCTGGCTCTCTAAATGTGTACATAATGGAAACCATCAATTCCTCTATACGAAGTTATGTTTTCAAACAACATCTAGAATGTGTTTTTAAAGTTTATCCTCCAGTTTTTACATGTATGGTCAATAAAACTGTCCCTAACTTACTATAGTGAAGCGATCAATATACAAATATATATTTGTATAACAACTAGAGAAAGATCTGAGAACTTTAAGTATATAAATCATTTATGATTTTCTTAAGACTCAATAAATATTAAACCCATAGATGATATATGTTAGTAATAGTTACTTTGAATGTGGATATTTATCTTCTGTCTGTATTTCAGTGGTGTTCAAAGTTTTTTTGTTTTTTTTTCTATTTGATATAAGATTGTGCCATATAAATTTCAGGAACAAGATTATGTGAATTTGTTCTTCTGAAAAAATGTGTAAGATCTACCTTAAAATATGACTCCCTCTCACCATATTCCTTTGTTCAGAATAAATAAAATAGAACCAATTGAAAATTAACAATTCACCAATTTTTAATTTATATGCAAATCTCATCAGCTTTTTAGGAATCATGCCTAACTCCACAAAATCAGTATCCCAGGATAGGATCTATATGATACTGTATCTCTGCATTTCTATGAATTCACAAAGTTTTTAAGTGCCTGCTGATCACTGAATACTGACTATACTTTAGAATGTAGAAGTAAAATATAGCACACACTACAGATCGTTTCTTGTTGATGTAATATTTCTACTATCTAAATTTAACTATTACAAAATTATGAATGGAGTAAAAGTTCAAAATGCAAAGTAAAATGTTACATTTGAGTCATCAAATTATCATTTTGTTTGAACACAGCTATTATTTAAATTTTCAGTGTGTCCAGGGTAAACAAAATACTTAATTATTCTCCTTGTTACCTGAACACTGTGATTATTTTGCTCCCTATTAAAACCATATTTTCCTCAGCACCCCCAAGAACTCGTTAGATCTAATATCATAGCCCTGATTTCTGAAAGTCAATAAATATTGATTGATCTGTAACATCTAGAGTATTTTAATTATAATTTTTTAATTTAATTTAATTTTTCCACCACCATTTATCCCCTGTATGCCCTCTTCAACTTCCCCCCACCACCCTCCACCCTCTCAGACTATTGATTCTAAGCAGAAGAGTTTGTTGAAAATTGTCCAGTAGACAATATTTTAATTAAAATATTACCTCTTATGAATATAAAATGTGTTGCATTTCACCAAAAACAGTCTCTCTTTTAAATAGGTCTTATTATTTTCTTCCTTGAATAACTTCTCCTAGAATAACATGTAGGTTTTCTCCTCAACCCTAATCTCAAATCCTCTTAAACACTTTGAGGCTGAGCGGATGCTGTCATGGTTACTTAGATCCTGAAATGGTGATAGTAGAGAGGGTAACCTGAGTTTCCCTCCATAGAAATAACCACATTACAATCATCAGTTGGATTGCCCATAGCATGCAAGGGAAATCAAAGTGGAATATTTCTCAATACGCCTATGCCCCACAGAGTTAGAAATGTGAATGTAATGACAGTTTTCTTTCTTTCTTCCTTTTTAAGAGTAGCCTATTGATTTTTAGAGAGAGAAGAAGGGAGAAGAGAAAAACACCAATGTGAGAGTGGAACGTGGATAGGCTGCCTCTTGCACGCCCCCTACAGGGATCACCAACAACCTGGCCATGTGACCTGACTGGGAATTGATTAAGCAACCTTTTGAGTGCAGGAGACACTTCCAACCAACTGAGCCCACCAACCAGAGCTAATGTTACGTTTCTTTATGAAATGCTTTTGTTGTGGGTGAATCAATAAATAGTAATATGGGTAGTACAGTCACGTTCAGGGGGCTCTGGCTTCTAATGAGTGCTCTTGCTGAGGGGCCTTTGAGAACAAGAACCAAAGGGCTTTCTTTCTTTACAAATTGAGGCCTAATTCATACCAACATTATATCTGGACTCTGTGGTTTCTGTCTCAAGGGGGTGAAGCAATCCCTTTTATTTGGTGATCAAAGGAGAAGCTTTCTGTACATATCTCTCCATCCTCTTTTCCCCATTCTGCCTTTTCACAGGCATTACTTTTCTTAAGGCAAAATAAAAGTATTAACATATTAAGCCTGGTCAGTGTGGCTCAGTGGTTGAGCATCGACACATGCATCAAGAGGTTGCTGGTTCAATTCCTGGTCAGGGCACATGCCCAGGTTGTGGGCCCGATCCCCAGTGGGGGCACACAGGAGGTGGCCAATCGATGTTCTCTCTCTTTGATGTTTCTATCTCTTTCTCCCTCTCCCTTCCTCTCTCTCTAAAATCAATAAAGAAAAAAAATTTTTAAGTATTAACATATTAAGCCATGTTAATCATGGAATGTACTAAAAAATTATCATTTTTATCCATTTAGCTATTCATTCACTTAGTTCATATCTATCTGGAAGTTCAATGATTGCAGGCACTTAATCTAATTTGTGGGGTTGCTTCAGTGACCAAGACAAACCTGGTTCTTGCTCTCAGGGAGCTATGTTCCACCATTTAAAGTTTATCACTCTCTTCTGCATTTTTTTCTATGCTTTCCTGTTTTTGAAGTTTCTATTAACCTATCATCAAATTGACTTATTCTTTCCTCAGTCATGATGATTCTACTCATGAGCCTATCAAAGGCAACTTTTAAACAGTATTTTTGATTTCTAGCATTTCCTTTTACTTCTCTTAGAGTTTCTATCTCTCTACTTACATACCTACCTGTTCTTGCATGTTGTACATTAGAAGCCTAAATGGGTTAATAAACATATTTATTGGTAATCTCTGTCTGATAATTCAAACATCTCTGTAATATCAGAAACTGGTGCTGACATTTCTTTTTTCTTTTTTTCAGATTGTGTTTTCTCTTGCTTTTTGGCATGCCTGGTAATTTTTTGAAAGCAGCCGTGTTTCAGATAATAGAAACTAAGGTAAATAGGCCTTCAGTGTCAAGGTTTATGGTAATTCAGGTAAAAGTTCGGTTGATACACATGTTTTCTGTAGCTTTAGGTACCATAACATTAAAATCATCTAGTGTCATTGTTTTTGTCACCATTCTTGACTTTGGACGTCTCTAAGTATCCCT